TTCCAAAATCGAGGGTTTCACTGTTGGGACAAACGTGTGTGTCGTGAAAAATAAAAACGATCGTTAGGAAACGAAAGCGAGCGAGATCGGCACGATATACGAAATGTATACGAAAGTGTGTGGCTTTAGGAAATCGGAGGCTCCGGCGGACTGAGTGCGAGCACACGCCGTAGGCTGGCGGCTCGGAGCCTCCGATTTCCGGTGAAACGCCTAATCTGTATGTATGCGACGCATTTACATGAACAGAGAGGCCGAGTTCGCCGTGCGCATATCGCGGCCCATGCTAATGGACGAAAGGGTAATCTGTAATCGCTAATTACATCGAGTTAAACCCGACGTATTCACCCTGAAACGAGGGCTGGGCGTGACGTTATATTCCATCCCTCGTCTACCCCCGTTCTCGCGACTACCGCGTTTATGATTAGTGCGAGCGATAAGTCGAGATGTCTGGCGTATTCTCCCACGCCGGTTATCCGGGAACGATTAACCCTTTTCGACCCAGCGCCTCCAATTCAATTCGCATATTTTACGTCCTATCGGGATGCATAGTCGCAACGATCGGAAAATAGCCAATATTTATATTCTGTGGACTGAAGATTTGCATCGTACTTTTTATTGCTGTTTTACGTTTACATGATATTTTATTAGGGATAGGAAGTGACGCGTTACTTGTAACGTCATTACAATTTACCTTGATTTTTTAATAATAACGGTGTTTGGTAATAACTTTAAAATTTTTCACGTCAATAACGGCATGTCACGGTGTGAAAAGTGACTTTTGCAAAATAACTCGTTACCTTTTTTAATGAGTAACGTATATAATTGTAACGAGTTCCTTTTCAAGAATGACTTTTCCAATCCTGGTATTATCGTTATATATGTAATGAAAAATTGTAAAATTATTACTAAATCGTTATTATAAAAAAGTAACTGTAATGGCGCTACAAATAACACGCTACCTTCCATCCCTGTATTTTGTAGTTTACTTGCAAACGAAATACGAGGAGCCAATTTAACAAAATGTACAAACGCGACAAATACGATACGCACTTCACACTCTTTATTTTTTTTTTTCTTTATTTAGTGCAGCTGGCTAATGAGTGAGAATAGTGAAATGTCGGAACATGGAAAAAGATAACAAGTCGATTTTACATGATGCATATGCACATGGCGACACTTTCGACACCGGCGAAGATAAATTCATAAGCAACGAATGAATATTCCAAGCTCAAAAGACTCGAGCGAACGTATCTTTGAAAAAAGTAAATAAATAAACAATTTCGCGTCGCGTGGATATGTTGGTGACTGCGTTTTACCCATGCGACGGCAGTCGTTCCGCCGTGATAGAAAAAAGAATTGTCACATGATACGCTACGATATCGATCAGGTGTTTCGTTCGAGAGCCCGTATAATTCGCGTTTCTGCAGTGGCGCGAACGTCAAAAAAAAAAAAAAAATAGAAAGAAAAAGAGGGAAAAAGATAACGACAGAGCGAGATGGAAAATAGGTTGAAATGCCGCCGTAAACATTCGTATAAATAAATGTAAATCTGTCCGGTGCGCGCGCGAAAGCGCTTCGTGTATAAAGCGGACGAATAAATGTAAATCTCACTTTTCGGAAAATGGCATGCTCGAATAAAATCTTCCGGATGATATTCCGTTTCCTCCAATAAACGCGGAAGGAGAAAAGGGTGGTCGGAGAAGGAATGTGCGTGGCCGGGCTCGACGATCGGTGTAGAGTAGTTTTGCACACGTGGTAATTGATGGTTTTGCCGCACAGAGCCGGGCTGATTACGCTATGATGATAATTAACTGCGCTTATAAGCGCGTTATGGGTGCGCGTGCTGCGGCGCGGCTTCGTGCCTTCGCGGCGCGTTGATTAAAGCTCGAGTGATGCAACGCAAAAACGACTCCGGCAACTTTTAACAAAATTCCTCCAGCCGGGTGAGATCCTGGCTAAAGGAGGGAAAAACATATTTCATCTTTTCCGAGGAGAACGCGCAAACCATTTGCTAGGAATGAAGAGGAATCCGTCACGTCGGGCGATACGCTAAACTCGTTATCGACGACGATACATACCTCATATACACCCCGCGCATCCCATCGGTGTCGGCGATAGCTTTTACGGAATTCCGCCTCGTGTTTAGAAATGTAGATGGGATAAGATGCTTAACTACGGAATATAGTTGCTCAATCCATTGGGCTGAGGAAATTCTTGCGTGGAAATTCAAATGCCTATCTCATGAAATGTAAAATAGAAGTATTAAAGGAATTCGACTTAAAAAAAGATTCTTAACGGAATATTTCAGATCTGACTGGAAAAACTTTAAATACTCGTCCTCACTTTGAAGTCGATTCTTATTTAGCAAAAGTAAAGTTGGAGGGAAGCTTCACCTGAGTTCTGAGCCATCCTTAATGTTTAACGTAGAAACCTTCAAGTAAAAGTTTGATTTGTCTCAGTTGAGACAAATATGGTAACAATATTTTGCTTTGTATTGAAAAATATATATAGGAAAAGGCGCTTATTAAGTATTTAAAGAACGTGACGGTCGTAAAATATTATAAACCATTATTCGCGCGCGTATTATATAGCAAAATATCTCGTCACCTTGCAAAAAAATAGGCAAGAAAAAAATTTATCGATTTGCATACATTTGTAAGAAAACTGCCCAATTGTTGTATGCCCAGTTATAATGTTTCGCCAAGTTCAAGATTGTCCTATTAGAAAACAGTTTAAAATGTTCAGATTCTTATTTGAGAGTCTCCAGTTTAATCTTTCGATAAATAAGTAGGTTACTAGAGAAAGCACTGCATTTGGAAAACACATCTCAACAATACCAAGAATACGACTATAGCAAAGGAATATCGTATGTAAACTATGCTTTTTACTTTAAATGGATATATGATGGCATGGAGATGCGAGCGAGACCAACCAGCATGATTATTCGAGGCGGTTATTACACGTTGCTCTATTAATTTCTCCGGTTGTCTCCGCAGCAGACGATGACGTCTGAATCGGACACCGGTGTTCCGATTCCAACCGCATGTTGTCGCATACGTAATTCGCGCCTCGTGCACGCCGATGAGTCGCGTTGCTCTCCAGCTGCCAACAGCGGCCTTCCCGAGCTGCATAAATAATATCGAGACGCGGATGGTCTCTAACCTGTCGGTTCACGCGGTACTATACATTGATAGCATCACTTTGTCGATAAGTTTGTTGCAAGTTTTAAAAAGAACAATCGGGATAGAAGTAACGGAAGTTTAAAAGGCTGGAAATAGATATAAGTTCACACAGTTATTTCGATTGTCGAAAACCGTACACAGTTGGAAAATTTGTGTGTTAAATTTAACATTCCTTTCCTTATGTCTCAAAGGGTGCACCTAATTTTTATGTTAATTTAACATAAGATGAATATGATAGAAAATAACAGAAATATTATATAAAAAAATTGACAAACACATATTGACACAATTTATAAACAAATCGTAGAAGCCATATTTCTTTGATAAAATTAACATTTATAATATGTTAAATTAACACGTTCATTCTATTCATTTATCTTATATTATTTACGTTTTAAAATAGATTATTTTTACATATTTGTTCATTTACTCAGTTTATTTAAATTGTGTTATTTTAACACTAAAAAATGTTGAATGTCAATTTAACACATAATATTCGAATGAATATAATTACATTGTAGTAAATTAACACTCGGTTATGTTAAAAATTTAATATAAATTTTAGACCTGGTTAATATAAATAAAGGATATTTTTTATTGTGTGTGTAATAATATAGTGTGATGGAAGAGAACATTAGACAAATTTTTAGATAAATACTGCGCATACAGGTACACGATAATTGAAGCGAAATCGAATTGAACGAAGTAATGAGAAAAGAGAAAACGTTCATGGAAAATAATATTACAAGAAATACAACAGTGATTTATAGCAATGAACCGAAAGACTAATTGAAAATAATGAATATGTAGGTAATGCAGAGAGAGAAAGAGAGGATGGGAGAGAAAAAGAGACAGACCGAGAGAGAGAGGGGCCGACCTAGACAGAAATTTATTGTGTTCTGTGGAGAGTCCTTTGGTGCAGATTAGAGATATAGATATATTATGCTATTCTATATTATATATATTTTTAGATATATCGTAATATATTATCTAAAATGAGTGCCAAAAATGACAATAAGAAGAGAAGTGTGGAATCAAATATTCTATTATAAAAAACTGTACTGAGAAGATAAAAGAGTGTTTTCAAATTAAAAAATAAAAGGCATTATTTCTTCTTTGAAGATGCTTAAAGATTTGGATTTGCAAATTTCTGCAGATAATAATAAATCTCTCTCATAAATCTTTCTAATAAAAATGATCGATAGATAATTCCCGTTTGAAACGTACCGATTTGCCGAGGATAACAATAGTATTTGATTCTTTCTAGTAAAATCATCGATTATCCTTTTTTTTTTCATTAAAATAATAAAGAAGATAAACGACGAATGCGAAATGAGAGAGAGAGAGCACGAGGAAAAGTCTATTTGTGGCCCAAAACCTCATTAATAACGGCCGGAACTCGTGATGCTGCGTAATACGACTGAAATGAGAAATGAGTAACGGGGTCATGCGCGCGTGGAGGACGCACGGAAGTTCCGCATTCGCGGGGATCGCATAATCCTTTCCTAATGACGCGACCGTTTTTAGCTTTAATACGCGCACCGACACGCGCGGCACTGATATGCCGGCGAATATCCGGCTCGCGTATTTCGTCGCACGGATTAGCAGTCCGCGTTGAAACGTATGTAAAGTCGCGCGTTATGTACAGCGAAAGGGGACAGACTTCATGTGCTCCAGATTTGCTTTGGACCGTCCGAGAGCAAATACCTGCTGCGTCCAACTACGCTCATCCGTTTAGATTTCGACATTGAGTAACTCGGCAATTAAAGTCTCACGAATTTCTGCTCCGCTCGGCGCTCGAGAAAAGAGTGCCGAGAGTATGCACTTCCCCCGTGTCCTCGAGAGTTTGTTAAAACATTTTATGTCGTTTATGTCGCACGAAAACGGTCTCGAAAGGTAGATATATCTCTTAGATTTAGTTTTCGACGTCTGTCATGTTGACACATATATTGGTGATTTCTGAGCACTGTATATATGTGGCTTAATACGGACGTACGGAGTGCATCAGCGCCGACACTGGTTCGACGAGGCGAGGCGAGTTTTCGAAATAAATCCTTCCGTCCGCGTAAATCACGCGAGCTCTTTTTTTTTTTCTCTCGAAACGCCGTTAATATTCCCGGCATTTTCGTGCGACTGTCACGCCGGACGATCGATTTCGCTGGATTTTTAGACTTCTGTTGACCCGGATTGTTATCGCAAGAAAAATACTCTTATCAATCCGACGAATCGCGTTGCCGTGATCGCGCATGAATGATGAATCTCTAGATAAACGAGACTGAACGCAATCCATCAGATCACCAACAATCTTGATCGAATCTGCTTGATCCGCATAGAAACTCGCTTTGGTCCGCGCGAGGATTGAAACTACGTGGAGCGCGTAAAGATCGTGTTTAACCTTTCGCAAACTAAGTGAAAAAAATCAACAATGGCGAACCATGTAGGGTATCTCATATCCCATGTTATACTTCATCATAAGTATGCTAATTTAGTACGACTAGTAACTCCAGCTACATGAAACAGTAACTTGTGCGAGCGCAGTATTTTTTAAAAAGTTAGAAGTTTACATGTCTTACGGGGGTATGTCACACCCTACCTACTTCATCGAAGATTAACAATGTAGTATCGATTTCTAGTCACAAGTGAGGCACCTTGACAAAGAGAGAAGGGAAAACATCACCAGAAACGATTTCATTAAATTCGGAACATGCGAGGAACAATCTCCCAGGTTTACCCGATTGACATAGTGTGTCTATATCAGAACCCATCTGGGTCGATATCGAATTTTTCTTGTCGAGGAGAACCAGCTTTCTTTCCGTCCAAAACGACGCCGAGCGTCTTCGCCCATTTCGGGGATCAGCCATCCCGTTTAGGTTTTACGGCATACTTGGGGCCATAGTGCGCTCGGACGACGGCGTGCTCAGGCGTTTCCATCTCGAATAGAAGTTTTTACGCCCCGAGAGCTTATTATCCGCGGAACAGCCGCGAGCGCTCGTATTTCCGGATATAATTTAGCCAGTCGAGCGTTTCAGCTGCGCGCGGCAGGCTTAATTTCGCACCTACGTGCGCGATCGCGGCCAACGAAAACGGAAATAACTTCACCCTTACGTTACGAGCGTGGAGAGAGCAAGCGAGAAAGAGAATGAACGAGCGCGTTGCTGCTACTCGTCGGCCACGGCGCGGTGAGCTCCACAGAAAATAATTCAACGCTCTTGTCGTAAAACCGGCATAAATTGGGTGCGGTGTGCACCAGACGGTATCGATTCTCCGAGGCGACTGTCGACAACGTTCTACGCTAGACGGAGACTCGGGAAATTTGTCCACTGCACTCCCCCGACAGTGATTCTTGAGTGGACGAAACTCGAATAGGTCTTGAATTAACGCGCGAATTTTATTCGAAAATTATTCTCGATATATAAGAATTCAAGTGTATAACTATCGCAATATTTATTTGCTGCTTCAAATAAGACTTTTTATTATCTGAATTAATAAGAATTTCCTCGTTTATTATTTGCAGACGTCACGACGCAGCTTCACCGTCATCGGCGTTCTCCATCTGCTCGTCTTGGTTGGCCTTTTCGCCCTCAGCACGGCCGAGGCGCGGACTTTCTGTCCTACTGGCTGTACTTGCGACGATGACACCTTGGTGGTTTCCTGCGTGGGCGCCAATCTAGACGTAATTCCTATTGCGCTGAATCCAAGCATCCAGCGAATAGTGTTGAAGGAGAATCGCATCAAGATCGTGGATGCAGCAGCCTTCCAGTTCTACGGTGACCTGAAGAACGTCGATCTCTCCAGCAACCACCTGTTTACTATACCTAATGGCAGTTTTGACGCTCAACGACACCTTGTGGAGCTCCATCTGAAGCACAACAAGATCTCAGCGCTGACCGAGAAAACGTTCCAGGGTCTCAAATCCCTTACGGTGTTGAATCTGCGGGATAACTATCTGGAGATGCTGAAAAACGGCCTGTTCGCTTACTTGTCGAAGCTCGAAGAGCTTGATTTGGGTCAGAATCGCATATCGAAAGTGGAACCAGGGGCGTTTCAAAAATTAGGCACCCTTCGGGTACTGTATCTCGACGATAATCAATTGCGAACCGTTCCGTCGCCAGCCCTGGCACCATTGAATGCCCTCGCCGAGCTTCACATCGGTTGGAACGCTTTCTCATCGTTACCAGACGACGCGTTCAAAGGCCTCGAACAATTGTCGGTGCTGGACATCATGGGCGCCGGACTAGACAATATCAGCGACGGAGCGTTTCGCGGCCTGAATGCCCTCCGTACCCTGAAACTTGGTGCTAACAAACTGCGCGAAGTACCAACGAAACAGTTGGCCGTGTTGCCACGTCTTGAGGAGCTCACCTTAGGTCAGAATTTCTTCACGATTCTGCGATCAGGAGCTTTCCAAGGTCTATCAACGTTGAAGAAGCTCGACGTATCCGGCGCCAAGTTACTTACCACCGTGGAGAAGGGGGCCTTCTCGGACAACGCTAATCTGGAGACTCTTGTATTAAACAGTAACAAACGGCTGGCTGTTATGGAGGAAGGTTCTTTGGCCGGTTTACCAAATCTGAGACATCTAATGCTGCGTGACAATGCCTTTATCACATTCTCAGAGTCGCTGGTTGCTTGGAACGAACTGCGCCGTTTGGATCTCAGTGAGAATCCGTTAGTGTGTGACTGCAGTCAATTATGGCTAGCTGAGATACTCGTCCCGAGGAACTCGAGCCCGGTGATATGCGCCGAGCCGCCTGAATCCAAGAGCAAGCCCATCAAGGGCATGACCGCAGACGAGCTAGGCTGCGCCTTCTCGGATTCGCGCAAGCAGGTTCTAATAGTGACAGTGTGCACCACCGGACTAGGCCTTTTCTTTGGTCTTTTATTGCTCCTATACTATCGATATCGTAGACGCGTACGAGACGCGCTCAAAGATTACAAATGGAAGAACCGTGCGATATCACGAAAAGAGCACGAGTACCAGAAGACTTTCTCTGATGACGAGTACATTGTCCGTTCAGCACACGCCCACCATCATCACCATCATCATCAAACACCGCCGTCTCAGCCGGTGCCTACGCATCACCATCATCATCATCTTCAGCAGCTGCAGCAACAACAACAGCAACAACAGCAACATGCTCAGATAGCGGCTGGTATCAAGCCAATACCGGTGACGGAGCTGTAGCTAGAACTTCGGGCGGCGAGCCCCGGGACCGGTGGAGTCTGGTTTCTGCCTCACAGCAGCACCACCCTCGCCGAGGGCTTCACCTACATCGACGGTGAGACGGCGCGCCAGATGCGCCGCCCGGGGACGCTGCCCGTCACGAACAACGCATCCGGTCACCGCGGAGGAGGAGGTAGCGGCGGTAGTGGAGGAGGTGGAGGTAATGGAACGGGAGGAGGGCTCAGAGGCGTCATAGACGACGGTACAGCATCGCTGAGCGCAGCGTCGATCGACGGAGTCACGTCTAACAGCGCGAGATCCCATTACTCCAGTCACTCCCTGCGCCGAACGCCGCATTCGCAACCGCAACTCTCTGCCAGAGAGTCGGACGATCGGATACGAACTCTGGAGTCCGGACTTCAAAACGGAGTGCCAGTCGGTAGCCGCCATCAGTCGTCACCGCCACCGCTACCCTCCAGGCATCAGTCCAACTGCGGCCAGTCCTCGTATCCCACTCTGCCGGTCAACGGCCACGCTGCTCATCACTACCATCACCACACAAGAGAACGAGAGAAAGATAGATCGTCTGCTCGCGAAAGAAATCGTGAGCGAGACGGCGGTCCGCCGCCACCGCCTCCACCACCGCCACCGGTAACGTCGCATCGGTCTGATAAGCACAGGGAGACCCAACTGGAGATGGAGTTGCGCGACAATCTGGACATGAGCGTGATTGGCACGTACCGAGCGTAGATAATAAATCGAACGCGTTACGTTACAGATAGGCAAACAGTAAATGGGATCTGTAGTCGAGAAAAACCGTGATCGCACGATTACCGTGAACTTCTCCATTGTTTCATATGGTATGAAGAAATTGACAATTTGAAAAGATGAAGAAGACCAGTGGAGACCAATCAGAAGAAAGTTCCTTTCGTCGCGCAATACAAAAAGAATAAAAACTGTTAAAACGGGAAGAAGACTGACCATGCTGACGAAGAATATCAAGAAGCGAGACCAAAAAAAATCGCACTAAAGTGCGATTGCCATATCGTCACGATATACAATCTATTCAAGACTCCTATTCGTATACGATCGAAATATTAGTATCATCGTGGATCGGCCATTGTGGATCAATTTTACGATCAGTCGAAAGCCAATAATCGGTGCTAGAAAGACATTCGTTAGTTAATACTTTTATTTAAGTTTTTGAAGGGAAAGAATGAAGAAATTGAGCTTTTAGATATAATATTTAATCTTCTTTACGACGCGTATCGTTATTAAGAAAAAGAACTACATTAAGCAATGATTATATGAGACTTTTGTAATATAACTTGAGTAATGTAAAGAGTCTAAATATGAGTAATTCTTCGCAGATTACAGTTTTATATCTAAAATATTTTTCGAAATTTTCATTCTTCTAATTTTTTGGCCTGTAATGACGCAACAGACAAGCAAAAATAACCAATAGGCTCCTCATCGTAATCAAAAGGTGCGGATATGCTTTGCGTTTAGTATATCTGTAAAAGATGCCGCATCTTTTCCGGAACGAGATGGCATTCCGAAAATTATACACCTGGTCTATAATCCTAAGCGGTCCTTAATAAGTCCATCTTCCCGCGCGACTACTCGAAGATTAATATCCTTCTCTCTACGTCACCGTGGGGAGTCGTCTCAGAATCTCGAAGAAAAGAAGACCCAACGGACACGGAATGACTTTCGCCAGGATTTTTATCACGTTCGTCTTATCACTGATGACCGCAAGATCAGCACTGCCGATGAGTGATGCCAAACGGAAATCCCACGCGTGGATAACTCCTGGGAAAACAGGGTCGGTCCACGATCTCCTCCTTCCCTTTTCTTTCTCAGAAACGACGGGCCATCCGGCCACGTGGAGCCTGTTGTGTTCCATACGAGACATACATATACACGCGTAAAAATTCTATATGCGCGATCGACCACTTGATCGTGCTGAAGAACCGCCGAGCTCGATCGAAACTAAAGTTCGATAGTGCATCGGTCTACGCCGAGTCATTCTTGAAGTCGATCCGAGGGCGAGAGCTTAACGAGTTCGGGCTCTGAGAGAATCCAAAGATCACGATTCGAAGAACAGATGCGACTCGTTAAGATCCATCGATCACTACTCGATCGTTTTATTCCAAGCGGACGCGCAACTGAGAGTTCGTGTCGCGCGAGATGAGACATGTATCATATGCGAGAAGATTGACGTACTATAAGCAACGTAGGACGCAGCTATATAAATATATACATATACAGATATATATATAAATAAAAAAGTATATATATATATATACATAAATTATATATATATATTCTAAACGGTCGAATTATTTTCTAAATAAAAACACCAATGTACAGAGGCACGACGGAGACGGTATAGTTGAGCTAGTGTCAACGCGTCCTCGACTATCTTTAACTGTAAGAAATTTAGGTCGTCGTGGAGTTTCCGGGTACCTGCTTACTAAAGTTGAAAAAAAAAAGGAAGATAATGAAAAAAAAAAAGAGAGAGAGATTGGTAAGCGGGTATCCGCGTGCGATTTAATCCCTCGATCGTTGAAAGATTGCGGGAATGCAGAAACTATCAAAACGTTATCTGACATTGCGACGCGAATTAGCGATGTAAGGACGGTCGTTTCTTTTTTCCTCTGGTCGATATGTAAGTTAAGAGTATAAGATCGCGTTAAGGATTTAACCTTAAGAAGGTTTACGCTGTTATTAGGGAACCGCGCAGGTTTCTAAAACGCGGGTATCGTCCGTTCCCCGTTTCAACGGATGAGTGTCTTTCAGATCGTGAGGTCACGTCGATCTCTAACTGGATACCAGGGAATTCTCGCGGTAATACACTCGTGCACTGTTAGATATCAAATGAGCAGTGGTAACCCAATCTCTCGAATTGAGTAAAATTTTGTTATTTTTAACTTTCATGTGTGTCAAAATTAATTCATTTCCGTGGTTAGTTTTAAAGTAAACAACATCCACATATATTAATTATAATAAATTATAATGAATAAATTAATTATAATAATTATAATAACATAATAATAAACGTCCGTATGTGTGCAGTTAATAAATAATAAACTAAATTTGAGTAAAATTCAATATATTTTCTTGAGATATAAATTGTTTAACTTTATTGTTTTCATTAACGAAATATTAAGTAGGAACAATGGCACCTTCCAGAAATATTGACGTTAAAAATAACTCAATTGGAGTATAATTCGAATATTATGAATTTAACAGTGCAAAATTCGCGTTTATAGAAGCTCGATCTGAAATGCGGCATTTTAAAAGCTCAAGTCTTCGTTACCGAAGCGTCCGTTTCTCTCTCTCGAACGGTAAATAATTAATAGATAATTAGCGGCTAATAATTATTAATTATTAATCCACTCTGAATCTATTGAATTTATTATTACTAAATTAAACTTATCGACATTAATTGCTTTTATAATCTTCTGAATTTCGATTGTGTTCCTCGAAGGCATGCGTCTGTCAATCGCGGGACATAATGCATCCCATGAGGAGAAACCGAGAACAGAGACACGATTCGTTTCGCCGACGTCAGGGTTTGAATCCTCGAGAGGAAGGTTACATCCTCTCCCCCTCTCCCCTCCATCCGCGCTCTCCTGTCGCGGTACAGTGAGCCGAATTCCTCTGGTCCGCGCGCCGCCGAAATACTGCCATTTAATCGTCCGTGAATCGCGCGGCACCGCCGTTATATCCGCCGCGTGGGTAATTTTTCGGTCACTTTTACTTTCGATATTACACGGGGGAAAGGCAATTCCCGCGGTGATGGCGGTAGCGGCACATCGGAAATCCCGCGGCTCTGATAAATCGCGGTTGCATTAAAATGCACGGGGCGCGGCCGAGTTTAAGTTAGTTCGCCGACCGGCGGCGTAATGGCCGCAGTGGAGAGTACGAGAAAGCGAAGAGAGAAGGCTGTAAGAGAGAGAGACGAGGTGTACGGCGAAGATGTACTTTACGGAACGAGATTATTTTTCCGCCCGAGTGTACCCAGTGGAATTCCACGGTCACCCGGCCTGAGAAAGGTGACTGCACCTTGAATCGACTCCGGCGGCGGCGGCGCGATGCAGCCGCTCGCTCACTCGAATCGCTCGCTCGCTCGCTGCTGGGCGTGGAGAGAGTGACGGAATTTCAGCACACCGGTAGAATCTGCAATCTGGGTTTGGGATTTAGGCTTCGAGGGCATATAGCTTCGCGTCAACCTCGCGACACAGCGGAAATCAGACGGAAATTGAGCACCGTTTAGTATTTGCAGAAGACGCATGTTGATTTGCAATCGCGCTTCTTTCGGACGATCCTCAATCTCGGGGTAATAATGCGGGTTTGATTCCGTTCTCTTCGCAAACTTGATTCGCAAACTTAGCGAAATTATACGTTAAACGCGGAATAACGCGTGTGCTAAAAAGTCGGTAGAATAAATCTCGTCGAATAAAACACCGGACGCGATAACGATAGCGGGCCGTGATTTATCGGGGGTAAATTACAGATGCATCGAATGGCGAAGAAAGAGACACGGGTGGGAGTGAAAGTTACTATCGATAATGGAGTAACGCCGTCGTTCTCGGCGCCCCGCCGCTACCGCCGAAGGAAAATATATTACGGCTCCATTTTTAGGTATAACCGCGTAGAATTCTCTCTCTACCGTTGCGGATACGTCTGCACATGTCTCAAGGACACTCATCCTCGCTCGTAAAACCCTTTCCACCCCGTTGACGCCGATTTGACATCGGGAAATTTTATTATTTGATACGCGACGCGAATTTGTCGGATGAAAGCAGGATTTACGGTGTACGACTGCGTTCCAAGATAGAATTAAATGTGTACATTGTCACTTATCACAATTAATAGATTGGATTGGCGAAGGGAGAGCGAAATATATCTTTGTAACGAGTTTCGGCTGCCAGGTTCGAGATTCGCGAGAGCAAACTTTTCTATTGGCAATCGCTGGAAACTGTGAGATTTTTAATTTTTCCAATATCGATAATCGAACTATACGTCGATGATTTTTCCGAATAGTTCGATGGTTTTGTAAGCATTCCATGCTGTAAAAAAAAAACGGCGAAAAAAAGCGGTTGAGCGGCTCAAACTATATATATGTATATATTCTACACTACATATATATATATTCACAATAACTCTGATGTTCATGAAATATCGTTTTCGAGCGAACAGCTCTCAGAAATAAGTTCGATGCCAAATGAAACCACGTAATCTACGCGGTTCGATAGCCGGATACTATGAGAGCATCATCGATTCTGAAAAAGATTTAGACTATTATTTCCGCTCAACTTTTGACTGCCACGACGAAGAGCCACCAAACATTGTTTACTATACGATTTCTATATTTCATATCGTAACAATTTTCAATATTTTATATCGAAAGATACGTCTCGACGTACCATAAAACCGGTGTTAAAGATTACTTCAAAACTCGCAACCGTACGCGCTGCGCTCGTTTTGCAGAATAGGTTTTGCGGAACAAATGGTGGCGTAAAAAAAAAAAAAAAAAAAAAAAAGTAATCTTTTACTCTAACATAAATACAACTTTCCTTGAAAATACGATTACGTTTATACACACGCAGAAATATTGTTATATTTGTATACGTATGGAAAGATTGCAATATTACTACCCTACATCGTGGATTCGAGGATACATGTAATGCACGTTTGATGATGCGAAAGTGCTAAAGACGAGCGGGGCAGTATTTCCGGCGCTTCAACGTCGTGACATCGACAGAGAGAACTAGCGTAGGGACGTATCTAATTTCGTAAGTTCGAGAACCCACCGAAATATCCGGCGGAAACTTTGCAAATTTTCGCTCGACGTCTTTATCTTCGTTGAACTTTGCAAATCGAAGAGCTTCGCGCGACATGCGCGACCTGCGCAGTCTCGTCCAATAAGGCTCTCCCGAACGATAATCTCATTCTCTTCTGAAACGCTTATTTCGCCTTGCTCATTTCACACGAAAGACCTTTTTGTATTCTTATTTATGATAAGACACAATCTCGAGGCACGACGATACGAGAATTTTGTGCGCGTCTTTCACGAGATGCGACCCTTTTGTTCTTCCCGTGTATTTTAATAATGAAGAAAAATCGTGAT